TTTTTTAAAAAACAAATTCTCTCTTCCAAATGTAAATGTTTTAATAGTGTCTGAAGCAGACCTTGAAAAGTAGTGGTCCACACTGGATCTGGCATGAAGACCTGTGGTGGTGGTGGTGATGTGTGCCCTTGAGTCCACTATGACTCATAGTGGCCCTATAAACAATAGCTCTGAACCCAGCACTAGCCTGCCCAACCTCACCATCTCTGACACACCTACCCCCATTGCCACAGTCATCGTGTCAGTCCATCTCACCTAGGGTCTTCCTCTCCTGCACTGACCCTCCACCCTTCCAAGCATGATGTCCTTCTCCAAGGACTGACCTCTTCTGGCCACGTGCTCAAAGTATGTGAGACGGATCTTCGAAATCCTAGCCTCCAAGGAGAAACTTGGTTTCACTCTCTCCTGGACAGACCTGTTAGTTCTCTTGGCAGTCCATGGTTGGCATTTAAAAAATATTTAAATTTGCCAAAATTTAAAAATTGAGATATTTCACATAAAAACCCAGACTCTGTTTTCTTTTGGAAAAGTGAAATACTTGACCATTCTGTGCCCACATTCCCAGATGTCCGTTTGCTGGGTCTGAGTAATGACTGCTGTCTAAGTACTCTCTTGTCTTAGTTCTTTTGAGTTTACCTGCCTGACCTTTGAAAGCATTTGATTTATACTTGCAAATTGCATGAATGTCAACATTGTTGACTTAGTTTATGGTAGTACTCTAGGAAGATTAGAGAAAAGATGTTAGCTACCATGTTTATCCTTTTAAAACACTTTTTCCTTATATTGAAAGTGTTACTTTCATTTTATTTGCTATTGAGTGAGTGGGACACTATAAAAGTGTTATCATGGCTATTAAAGAGTGGCTTCTGAGTGAGAAGAATTAAAAACAGTTTGTTTTCATTTTATACTCAAAAGTCTTATTACCAAACACTCAGAAATTTAGGAAGAAAGCTTATTTGGGCATTATATCGTTGTTGTTACGAACTATCAAATTGGAACCAACTCAAAGCCAACCATCCAATGGGTTTTCAGAGCCAGTAAATCTCATGGAAGGAGTTTGCCCATCTTTCTCCTGAGAAACAGCTAGTGGGTTTGAACCATGTGCCTTTGGTTTAGCAGCACAGCTCTTAAACACTAAGCCACCAGAGGGTCATATTAATTCTGTATGAGAGAGTGAAAACTCTTTCATAGGGTTTCCTAGGTCATGTCTTTATGGTCATAGACTTAGAGGCAGTATTTTGAAGAAGAGAAATTATTGCATGGCTTAAAATCAGGAAAAGTGTGCATCAGGGTTAAATCTTTTCACCATACTTATTCTATCTCTTTGCTGAGCACATAATAAAAAAAGCTGGATTATATAAAGGAGAATATGGCATTAGGATTGGAAGAAAACTCAACAACAACCTGTAATATGCAGATGACACAACATTGCATTCAGAAAATGAAGGAGACTTGAAGCACTTATTCATGAAGTCCAAAGACTACATAGACTTTAGTTTGGATAACATCTCCACATAAAGAAAACAAAACTCTTAACAACTGGGCCAGTAAACAACATCATGATAAACAGAACTAAGATTGAAGTTGCCAAGGATTTCACTTCACTTGGATACACAATCAACACCCATAGAAGCAGCAGTGAATAAGTCAAAGGATGCACTGCATCGGACAGATATACTACAGAGCACCTCTTTAAAGTGCTAATGAGCAAAAATGTCACTTTAAGGACTAAGGTGCACCTGACTCAGGTCATGGCATTTTTAACCATTACCTAATATGCATGTGAAAAGTAGACAGTGAATAAGGAAGACTGAATAAGAATTGATGCCTTTGAGTGGTGTCAGTAAAGAATATTGAATACATTATTGCTGCATGCCAAAAGGTTAAACAAATCCATTTTGGAAGGTGTAGCTGAATACACTTTAGAAGTGATAATGGTGGCGGGCTGCCCTCGGCCCCCGGCTTGGGGCGAGCCATTGTGGCCCTCTGCCTGAGGCGAGCTGCCCTTGGACACGGCTCGGGGTGAGCCGTTGCGGCCCTCGGGGTGAGCTCCTCAGTCCCCAGATTGTGCTGTCTGACCCCTGGGTGGGGAAGGGGGAAAAAAATAAAGAATGCCTAGGGTATCCAGAGAATGTTATCTAGGCCACCTTCTGCCACCCTCTCCCCCAGTAAACCTGAAAGCAACACCCTTAAAGCCCTTCTATTTGTAACTCACAAGTTTGTTCTCACTAGGTTTGCTCCCTTTCCTATAGGTAACCTTAACACTGAGTTTTACTCCAGAATTGACCGTGAACCCAGTGCCAGTGACAAAAAGGAAATACAAGTGACAGCTAAGGAAGGAAAGGAGAATGGAGCCTCTGGGTTCAACCAGCCATCCCCACTGGACCCACCTGGGAAAACACTTTGCAGTCCAGAGGGGAGCAAATGACAGGAAAATATCTTCTAACAGAACAAGAAGGCAAGCAGCTTTAACCCAAGACCACCAGTAAGGTGATAAAGCATCCTCTCTTCCCCCCTTTACATCTACGCCCTTGTTCAGCATGAAGAAGCCAGAGAGTCGGCATCCAGTTCCCAAATCAATGAGACAGTTGGTTTAATTGCTATTGGAAAATGCTTGTCATTCCTCTGTAGCATCTGGTCCCCACTGGATCCTCATCATTTCCTTCACCTGCTCCCCCCACCAACCAAACTGTGCAGCTCTGCAACTGCATCCTGGCCCATCCTCACCCTTCTGCCCCCAACCGTCACCTCCTTGTACCTCCAATATGTTTTTCCCAATAAAAAATAAAAATAAAAAGAAGTGATAATGGCAAGACATTGTCTGACATACTTGGGGCATGTTATTAAGAGAGGCCAATTCCTGTAGAAAGACGTGCTTGGTGAAATAGAGTGAGCAAAGAGGAAAATGATCAAGGAGATGGACTCGCTCAGAGGCCACTGTGGGCTGAAGCACTGCCATCATTGTGAGGCCAGCTGAGGATGGAGCTGTGTTTTGTTCTGCTGACACAGAATCTCTCTGAATCAGCCAACACCATGGCACTTTCACGGGAGCGGATCACTGGGTCTTTTCTCCCACAGAACCACCACTGGGTTTGAACCACTGGCCTTTCAGTTAGTGGCCAGGCAGTTGGCCACTGTGCTACTTGCCCATGCTCTTCTTTTCCTACCTCTGGCCTCATTCTCCCTCCGAATAGAGGAAATTAAGAAAAGTAGTATGTGTTGTTTGCTTTATACTAGGCTTCTCTTAGGGGTCAGAGGGCCAGGTTTCGTACCCCTAACCTGAAGGAGAGAGGATGTGCCAGCGATGGCTCCTCTGTCTCTGCTCAGCCACTTTGCTCGTCCTCATCTGTGCAGGGCAGACGTCACTGGCCCCCGGCCTCTAATCGTTGGGTGGAGGCTCCAGTGTGTGCCCTTTAAAGCAGACTGGTTAATTGTAGTGCTCTCATCAAATATATTTACTTACTAATTTTTTTGTTTGCTTTTGGCCTTTCATTTACCAAGATGATGGGCTGGTGAAACTTGTCATTATGATCATGGAATTATCCTTTCTCTTCTTGTTGTTTTGCTACTGTGTGCTTTATAGCCATTTTGTGAGCTGTGTGCCATTCTTAGCAGTGTACTTTAAAGTTGACTTGTATTTGATTTATCCACAATCTGAGTGTTTTGTGGCAGGGGACCGTTGTTTAGTGTTTTGTTGGCCATATTGCTAAAAGCAGACGTCTCTGTTCCTTTTTTTGTCTTTAGAGATTTCTCAGTTGATGACAACCCTGATAATAGCCCTCCCCAAAGCTCTTTTTTTGGATGTGTGTGTACAACTCTGAATTTATTTTTGTTTGCCATCTTTTCCTTCTCATTCAGTGGCAGTTAGAGAGAAAAGCTATTATAATAAAGATTGTCTGCATTCCCCTTGGGTTAGAATTTTCTTTTTCTCTTACTCCACATACTCTCTTTAAGTAATTTCACTCCGTTATTTCAGTTATGATTTGTGTGTTGATGTCTTTCAAATCTATACCCTTCTCTAATGCAGTTGCTCCTGTTCCGTTTATCCTGAGAGATTAGTACATTCTTTTGTTGTCAAAGTGAGGGGGGAAAGGAGGAGGAAGTAAACACATGTGATAAATCTACCTCGTTTTCCTGGAATTTATAGAATGCTCTGAAAAGCACTCATCACAATAAGTAGTATTTATTTATCATTTATCATATGCCAGACACTGTTCTAAGTGTTTTACATTTCTTTTATTTTTTTTTTTTTTAAAAATGTCCATGGTACTTTATTTCAGATTTGGGAGAAAATAGTGAGATCCTTCTCAAAGACTGTCTCTGTTTTATATTTCTTAACTAAATCTTTTCATAATCTTATGAGGAAAATACTGTTACTGTTCCCACTTTGTGGAGGAAGAAGCTAATACATAGGGAAGTTAAGTAACTTGTTCCAAAGCTACACAGCTCATAGAGTGGAGCTTATATTCAAAGTCAGACTCTCAAGTCATTTACAATTCTCTAATATTATCATATCCCTTTATGCTATGATCCATGCAATATTTAGCATGCCATGTGCACTTTCTGTGTTCATGTCTGACTCTACTTGTTTGACCTCTGAACTTCTTATCCTGCCTGCCTGGTGTTCTCAAAGTCCATGTGCCTTTTTCATGCTGTCTCTTCTGCCTCAAGAACACCTTGTGTATCAGAGTGTTTGGCAGAGTGTCAGGGCATCACAGCACATAGTCATCAATGGAATATTTGAATAATTGCCTTCACCTAACAAAAAATCATGCTTTTTAGGTGTTGTGGTTTTTTTAATGTCACATCTTCTTGAAAGATTTATAATTGATAAAATAATAGTACTCCTTTATGTATGAAGCATTCATAAGACTAAAAGACTAAATAAAATTATCTCTTCAAAATTTAGTGGAATAGAAAGGAAAGTATGCATTAACCGATAAATGAATTTATTTCACTCACATTGTTTTCTCACCTCATCTTGCTGTTTTACTTTCTAGCATTTTCTTCCTCTTGCAAATCTGGAATGTTCACCAAATGTTGAGACTTTCCTCTGCAACGCTTTTGTACCGAGCTGCACAGAACAAATCCATGTGGCTCCACCTTGTCGTAAATTGTGCGAGAAAGTATATTCTGATTGCAAGAAGATAATTGACACTTTTGACATCCTGTGGCCTGAGGAACTTAAATGTGACAGGTAACTTAAGTTTTTTTACTAGAAGCTATTGATGGTATTTCAATATTGGTTATCTCTCCAAAATACTCGTGATAGGTGTGCTTCAGTACATGAGATGTGCCAGACACCATGGTAATAAGTGTTGAAGGCACAATGGTGGGTGAACAGATAACATTTTGTTTTCTCGCAGAGAAATTCAGAGTGGTGAGACAGACAGATAGTAATCACATAGTTAGCAAAATTGCAAAGAGTGAGATAGAGTGATTGGGCAGTAAAGGGAGGGAAGAGCATTTCAAACAGGGAGAAGCTTGTTCAGAGGCCCTGTAGCAGAAGAGAGCTTGGCTTATCAGGGATTAAAAGCCCACTGTGGCTGTATTGGTGTGAATAAAATAAGGAAGGAGGGAGAAACAGCATTCAGGCCTCTCTAGGCCTCATATTGTTGCTCTAGTTTTTGTTGTTACGTGCCCTCGAGCCACCCGTGATTCTGTGTACAACAACTCTGAACCTTGCCCTATCCTGATCCAGTGTCACTGACTCACACACCTACCTCCATTGCCCCAGTTATCCTGTCAATCCATCTCGTTTGGGGTCTTCCTTTCCTGCGCTGTCCCTCCATCCTTCCAAGCATGATCTCCTGGCCCCTCCTGGCCACAAACCCAAAGTATGTGAGAAGGAACTTCAAAATCCTTGCCTCCAAAGAGAAACTTGTTTTCACCCTCGCCAAGCCAGATCTCTCTGTTCTCCTGGTTGTCAATGGCATATTCAGTACTCTTCTCCAGCATCACAACTCAAAGGCATCAGTTCTTCTTCTGTCATCCTTAGTTGTTGTCCAGCTCTCTGATGCTTAGAAGGTAATTGCAAAGACTATGGCCTGATTAAACACACCTTAGTTGCTAGGCTGACATCATTGCTCCGTAGCACTCTGGAGAGGTCCCTGAGAGCAGACTTCCCCAGTGTGGTAAGGGAAATGAGAAGCTCTTGAAGTGTCTAAAGACCATGACCAGGGAACAGAATGGGTATGCTCATGGTGGCTTCTCTGTGTAAAGCATGGCTGTCACGTCCCTGCGTGGTGAAGCTGGGTAAGCACCCTTTCACAGCTCCCCTTCAGCATCGAGGCTGCTTCTGTCTGGCCACGCTAGCAGCCGTACAAGTGGAAGAGCAGGCTGTAGAAAAGTTGGCACTTTTTCTCGAACTCATCCTGCCTTTCCCCTTCACATTGCTGCTGGCATGTTGAATGGTTAAAACTGAACAACTAAGGAGAACAAGACATGTGTATCCAGAAGGCAAAAGGAGGTTTAAAGCAGAAAGAGTGCCCTTGCTGCTGATTAAATAAGTTTGTTATTAGTTTCAAAGAAAACTATTCCAACTCATAGTGACCAGAGTAGAACTGCCCCATGGAGCTTCCTAGTCTGAATGGAGCACCAGGCTGTTTCTCCTGTGGAGTCACTGCTGCCCAACTTAAGTTAGCTGATTGCTCAACGATTAAGGCTCTTAGAACATTAGCTCATATTATTTCACTGCAGTGGTCGGGCCTGTAGAGGGAACATTGCAGTGGGTGAATGAGTTAGGTGCCGAGTAAAGCAAGATAGAGAAATAGGTAACTGTCAGGATGAGAAGTGTGAGAGTCAGAGGAGGTGCTCAAGGAGATTAAATGAAAAACAACAACAACAACAAAAACCCCCAAACAACTGACTCCTTTTATCAGGTGCTAGGAGATTACAGAGAATCTGTGGAGAGGCAGTAGAGTAACACTGGGTTGCTAATAGGCTCCAATCCCTCAGCTCTTCCTCAGAGAGGGTTAAAATCATCTGCTTCCTCAAGCATTTCCAACCTTGTATGTCCTGTGGAGGAGCACTTCTGCTCTGCTCTATGGGGCTGTTAGGAGTCAGAATCAACTCAATGACAATGGTTTAGGGTGGGGTTCTTCTGATATGAAAAGTCCTGGAAAAGGCAAGAGTATAAATGACACAGAAGGAAGGGATAATCAGTAACACCAGTTTCTAACAGGTAGCAGAACCCCAAGCCCTGGTGAAAGGTTGGCCTTGGGTAGGAGAAGCCTTCACTGTAGCAGGAGGGAAAGAGGATATGGAGTGACTGTGAATGTAGATAGCGTTGCTCCAACAGTTCCTTTCGGTTGGTTTTTGTTTGCACTGTGGAGTATTATGAATCGTCGTCCTCTGGTGGAAGTCTGCTGAGGAAGGATGCATGTTGATAGGCAGTGATCACATCGAGAGTGAAAGGGAGCAGAGTGGAAAGGAATATCATGGGTGACTCAAGTGATCCAGAAGTTGGAGTGGATTTCATTTGACCTGTAGAGACTCTCCCTAGAATGCTTGTGGGAAAGTGCAGAGAAGGCACAAAACTGGTTCATCTGTGAACCAGATGGATTCAGTGAAAAATCAAGAGTAGGAAAAAGGTAAGGATACTAATAAGGGCTTTACTAGAGTGTTAGACACTGACCAGCTAAATGGATGAGGAGTTACAAAAAAAAAAAAACTAATGTTTTGGGACAGGTAGTGAAGATGTCAGTGAAGTCTTTTTTTTTAAATCAGCTTCACAGCTAAAGCTTGTGGCCAAAGTGTAGGAGGTAGTGTGCCGTTACAGTTTGTGATAGAGTTCATTGGGTGACTGGGACTGCAGGGCACTGAAGTGGGTGAGGGATGGTCACCGGAGATGAGGAAGTTAACAGGTGGAGAAGCCAGAACACTAAGAGGTTGTCCATGCAGAAGGTCACTCACCAGAGAGGGCAGCAAAAAGGAGAGGAGTGAAAATACGTGATTCTGTAAACAAATACCTCTTGAGCTCTATGCTGGGACTGTCCTTGGCACTGAGGAAGTACAGCAGACGAAACTTCCTGCTTCAATGTGGAGAGGGAGAAGATGAAAGAAATAAGTTCAATTAGAAAGTGAAAAGGTCTGTGGAGAAAGCATAACCAGTGTTGAGTTTGGGGTCTTTTTTTTAAGAGGTGGTTTGGGGTTTTATTTAGTTATTTTTATGACTCAAAATCTTGATGTATTTTATCCTAAATGACACTCTGCTCACGGAGTATTTGCCTGCCTTTATGAGCTTGCGTACTCATTTGCACTGGCAGCATTTGCAATTCCCTGTCCTTTTGGAGTTCTAATCTCTATAATATGTTGAGAAATGGATGCTTTTTTCCTTAAAATTAAACGAAATGTTTGAGAATGTTTGGTACGTTGAATTAGGAGGTAGCATACATTTCTTACAATTATTCCTATATTTAAATACTGATCTAACTAATGTTAAGTAAAAATAAGATACCCTTTTAGTAAAATGTTAAGTGAGTCAATTTTATGTAAGAGAAGTTCTGGTATTTTCTGTACCAGAGAAATTTCATTTTCTTCCTGTCTATAAATTAGGAAGCTGTGGTGGCCTAGTACTTAGGGAGATGGGTTACCAAACCAAAAGTGGAAAACTACCAGCTGGTTTGTGTGGGGGGGGAAGATGGCAGTCTCCTCCTGTAAATTTATAGCCTGTGAAAAACTATTGGAGGGTCAGCTATTAGTCTTGTCCAACTCAATGAGTTTACATTTCATCTATACAAGAAAACTTCTAGGCCTTTACAGTATCTTTTCTACTTTGGAAACACACAAAAAAGGAAGAAGCTTCTGATTGAAAATCTAGTTCTGGCCTGTTTAAAGGTTTTAGTATAATGAAATATTTACCATATTAGCTTTGAAGTAAAAACTTTTTACTGTTTGAAAAGCCATTCATTTCTGTGATTATTGCGTACATGGAATTCTTAGCTGCCTAGAAGATTGCCTTCGCCTTAGAAGTAAAGTGAAAGAGTCATTAATGCTTGGGAGGCCTCTAGGATTTTTGTTGTGTACATGAATTTTGTTGTACATAGGGTTTTCGGTTATGCATCAGAGAGTTGGACAATGACTAAGGAGGATAGAAGGAGAATTGATGCCTTTGAGCTGTGGTGCTGGAGAAGAGTATTGAGGGTACCATGGACTGCTAGGAAAACAGATTCGTCCTGAAAAGGGTTAAACCAGGCAGCTCCTTGGAGGCAAGGATTCTGAGGCTCTGTCTAACATACTTTGGACATGTTGTGAGGAGAGACTGGTCCTTGGAGAGGGACATCATGCTTGGGAGGGTGGAGGGACAGCACAGGAGGGGAAGGCCCTCTATGAGGTGGGTTGATTCAATGACTGGGCTAATCGGGATGGGTGTATCAGAGACAGTGCAGTTGGCACAGGATAGAGCAGAGTTTAGGGCTGTTGTACGTAGGGTCGCTATGAGTTGCAAGTGACTCGACAGCATATAACAACAACATGAGTTTTGTGGTTAGCTCTGGGTCAAGCTCTATCTGAGGGCTTGGCAAAAGCTTAATTCCTGTATTTGTGACCTATTTTATTTCTCTTTTTCAGCTTCTTTTCCTAAGGCTGTACATATTCACCATACCCTTTGAAAGTCTGTGCAATCTAATCATCTTCTCTTACTCTGTTTTCCCCTTTTTGTTACAATAGTCAGATTTTCCCCTCTAAAGCTGTCTCACCTTGCCTTCATGAAGGTATGTTCTTCTGAGCCACCTCTAACCTATAATCTGTTCAAGTTTTCCCTCCCATCAATTATGAGTGTGAAAAGTAGTACTTTACAGTAAACAAGCATGGCATTAAAACAGTCAGTAAAAATGTTGGTGTAACATATTTCGTTTTTTTCATCTTTGCAGATTACAGTACTGTGATGAGACTGTTCCTGTGACTTTGAATCCACCCACACCATCTCTTGTCCCTCAGAAGAAAACAGAACAAATCCAAAGAGATATTGGGTTTTGGTGCCCAAGGCATCTGAAGACCTCAGGAGGACAAGGCCACAAGTTTCTGGGCCTTGACCAGTGTGCGCCTCCCTGCCCCAACATGTATTTTAAAATCGATGAGCTCGAGTTTGCAAAAAGCTTTATTGGAATTGTTTCGATATTCTGTCTTTGTGCAACTCTCTTCACCTTTCTGACTTTTCTAATTGACGTTAAAAGATTTAGATACCCAGAGAGACCAATAATTTATTACTCTGTCTGCTACAGCATTGTATCTCTGATGTACTTTATTGGCTTTCTGCTCGGCAACAGCACAGCCTGCAACAAGGCAGACGAGAAGCTGGCACTTGGTGACACCGTTGTGCTAGGGTCGCAGAATAAGGCTTGCACTGTCTTGTTTATGTTCTTGTATTTTTTCACCATGGCCGGCACAGTGTGGTGGGTGATCCTCACCATAACCTGGTTCTTAGCTGCAGGAAGAAAATGGAGCTGTGAAGCCATCGAACAAAAAGCAGTGTGGTTCCACGCTGTCGCATGGGGAATACCAGGCTTTCTGACTGTCATGCTTCTTGCGATGAACAAAGTGGAAGGAGACAATATCAGTGGCGTTTGCTTTGTCGGTCTCTACGACCTGGATGCTTCTCGCTACTTCGTACTCTTGCCGCTGTGCTTTTGTGTGTTTGTCGGGCTGTCTCTCCTTTTGGCTGGAATTATTTCTTTAAATCATGTTCGACAAGTGATACAACACGATGGCCGAAACCAGGAAAAACTAAAGAAATTCATGATTCGCATTGGAGTCTTCAGTGGCCTGTATCTTGTACCATTGGTAATGCTCCTTGGATGTTACGTCTATGAGCAAGTGAACAGAGTCACCTGGGAGACCACATGGGTCTCTGACCATTGTCATCAGTACCACATCCCATGCCCTTTTCAGGTAAAAGCTATCGTTTGGATCATTTTACTATTTTAACTGAATGTTCCCTGGGAACGCACTTGTATTAGTCATGGACATAAAGTGAGGAGATCTAACAGGCATGTGCATTGGCTGACGCTGACGAACATGTATCAAGAATTCTTTCTCCAAGCTTTAGCTTCAGTTCAGGTTGTAGAAGACTTTGGTTAAATCTTCTTTTAAAATTGAGTTGTAGAGAAGTTAATGTACAGAGTGATAACGACATGGTACAATGACAGGAGAAAACAGAGAAGTGACTTCTGCTGACTTGGGCACTGTTTTTAATTCTTGTATGGTTCTTGTTTTTATTTCTTTAAAATAATGAAAAAGTACCTTACCTGAGTATATTTAATGAGCTAATACTAGTATCTTGTTTTTGTTGTTATAAAAACAGACCTTGATTTTTACTTATTTTGTCATTTTTTAACTTTAAAAAAATTCTTTATTAACACACACCAAAAAAAATTCTTGAAGCAAATGATATTTCATGTTTGGTGCTTGCCATTAGTACTAATGTGATATCATTAAGATTGGAATGAAGCGTCCTTAAACAATTTTAGTTATAACTACAGTAATATCTTTATAACTTCCATAAAGACATCAAAAGACTTTTCTAAAACATGAACTACTGTTAGGAAAGAAATGGAAATTAAAATGACAATAACATTCTGACATGAAAAATTCTCAAGACACAATGTTGATGATATTGTGGCAAAACAGGTCTTTTTAGACTTTAGTATTAAGAGTTTAAAGTATTTCAGCATTCTGGAGAACAATTCGACAAAGCCTATCAGCTCTGAGAGAGCTCTGGTGGCATAGTCCATTGGCAGAGGCACTAAACCTAAAATAGCATGTCTGGCTGTTCAAATCCATACCAGGGGAGAAAGATGAACAATCTCCTCCTGTGCGATTACCGTGAAAACCCGCTGAAGGGTCAGCTGTGGGTCAGTTCCAATTCAGTGGCAATGAGTAAGCTTTAATTAAATAAGATGAGCTTTAAAACGCATATACTCTTTCTCCTACTACTTTACAAATGTGTCAACATACCTGCTTATAAATGTGTGAGAAATAATATATGTACAGAGGTAGTCTCAACATTCTTTGCAATGGTAGTATATTGGAAGTAACTGAAATATCTACTAATACAACTTACTGCCCTCAGTCCTTTCTGACTTGTAGTGATATTGCCCATCGTTTTCTGGTGGAGCAGCTGGAGGATCAGAACCACCAGAGACTCCCAGCCTTTTGGATAGCAGTCCACGATGCCACAGGATATGCCACTGGAGCTCCTCGCTAATGCTAGTTGTTGTTAGGTGCCATCGAGTTGACTTAAGATTCCTAGAAATTCATGAACAAGGGACCGAAACCTTGCCCTGTTCTACAACATCCTCACGGTCCCTGCTGTGCTCAAGTCCATTGTTACAGTCACTGTGCCAGTCAGTCCATCCTGTTGAGGGCCTTCCTGTCTTTAGTTGACCTTGACTCATAGGGATAATGATGCTCCCTAATAGGGATAGTGGAATTGGTTATGGTTCAACCACACAACAAAACACTAGGCAGCCTTTAACAAGAATGAAGAATTCTATTTGTTCTGATGTAGAAAGGTCTCAAAGAAACATCACTAAGTGCCATAAGCATACAATCATAGATAATATATAGTACTTTGATATTCATGCATCGTTTAAAAACAATATTGAAAGGAAGTGCAACTAGAGTGGTCTTTAGAGGCAAGAATGGTGAAACTTCATCTCACCTACTCTGGGCATATTTTCAGGAAGAACCAGTCCTTGGAGAGAGGCATCATGCTGAGAAAAGTAGAGGGTCAATGAAAGAGAGAAAGAGCCTCCACGGATGGATTGAACAATGCCAGCCACAATGGGTTTGAGCATGGTGGAGGGTGTTGGGGGCAGGGCAGGGTTCAGGACTGAGGTTAAAGGGGCTGCTATGAGCTGCAGTCAGCTTGTCAGCACCTTACACCACCACCAATACCATAGTGTATGCTTAGAGAAAAAATAGAAATTTCTATATCCTTACATTTTGGCACTCTGATTTTTTTTTCTAACCAAACAAGGTTTTTCATATAAATGTTAAAATAATATGTTGTTAGAGTGAGTCTGAACGTATTTGTGCATGTGTTAGATTATTGTGAAAGAAACTTAACAAATATTTAGAGTCTGATAATTTATTAATGTTAAGGTACTGATCTATCTCTAAGGAGAGATTGCGTATCTAGAGAATCAGTATTTCCGTATCTGTCCCTTTCTAACTCCACGTTTGACACACAGGTAAAGGTTCTTTGCTTGTTTTTCAGAACTTCAGTACAGAATGCTCTTAAGTCAGACTTCATTGTATGATGTCACTTCTAGCCCCTCAAAATAAAACAGGCTGCAGAGATTTAGACTTTTTGTTCAACTTTAAGTATATAGGCTTCCCCCCCCCATACTTTGCCTGTATCACTGAAAATTGTATTATTTGTTTTGCAGGCAAAAACAAAAGCTCGACCAGAATTGGCTCTGTTTATGATAAAATATCTGATGACACTGATTGTTGGCATTTCTGCTGTCTTCTGGGTTGGAAGCAAAAAGACATGCACAGAATGGGCTGGGTTTTTTAAACGAAATCGCAAGAGAGAGTAAGAATGTATTGTATTTTCTGCTATGTTTTAAAATAAACAGATCAAATACCAAGAAACTATTCAAATCATCATTTTACTGGAGTTTCATCATATCCGCTATTGCTAGAACGTGATGACCCACCCAATATTTGAGAATCTTTTCCTGGAGAGAGATATTTTATTTGCATTTATAATTAGAGTGTTTTGCATGTACTAATTTAATTGTTATCATCTTATTTATATTTTGGATGTATTTTCAAAATAGTTTTTACTTTTATAAAAGTTATTAGAAATATATGGGATCAGTTATATAACCTTATCTGTTGTTGTTGTGTCTCGTTGAGTCTAAACCAACTCATAGCTGACCCTCCAGTGGGATTTCAGAGGCAGTCAGTCACACAGGAAGGGATTGCCCATCTTTCTCCAGCAGAACAGCTGGTGGATTCAGAGCACCTGCCTTTGAGTTGTCGGTGCGCCTCCTTACTCCTAGTCTACCAGAGCTCCCTTCAGCATATCTGTAACGTACAGGTTAACGTAGGTCACGGATTGTGACCATCATTTCCTACTGCACTGATTCTTGCAGGGGGTTCTAGTGGAGTTGTCTCTAAGGAGTTGCACTGCTGGCTCAAAGGCAGGTTTTTCAAATCCACCAGCAGTTGCTTAGGAGAAAGCCAGGTAGCGAGACGTCTCCCCTGTGGTTTCCAACCTCTGATTTACAGACTCATCGGTGCAACTCATGGGAAAGCGTGTTCCTAGTTCAGTTCTTCTACATACTCTCGTGACATAACATTCTGCTGTTTGCCTTACGAAAAAGATAAAGATTCAAATTCACAGTCTGTTCTGGAACAGTTTACTAAAATTACATTTGAATAAATGTCCTGTGCTAATTTTTTACATTTCCATTAAAAAAAAAGAAATTAGCAAAGTTTTTTTCTATTTACAAAACTAAGGGGAAAAGCAGAGAAGAGCTGAGGGAATAACTGATTAACAAACCTAAAGGCCCGTGCTGTTGGCACACAAGTAGAATAAACAGTTCTGCTTAGTTGTTTATAGGCATTCAACTATCAACAAAGTACTTTGTTTGAAAAACCAGTGTTCCACATTGATTTGATTAGTATAAATTTCAACAATGCAGATAGACATTGTCAAAAATAATATTTGAGGTTAGAAAAGTTAAACTTTTCAGTTTTTTGCTCACACGGTTACAAGCTCATGTTTATATGCCTATTCTAACTTCAAAATGAGTTTCTTACTTTAATGTTCAGGGAGCTCTGGTGGCCTAGTGGTAAGTTTCACTGCAATCCCAAAGGCACTCAGTTCAAATCCACTAGCTGCTCTATGGGAGGCTGATCAGTCCCCTCCCGTGTGATTTACGGCCTCCGCAAACCTGCTGGAGGGTCAGCTGTGGGTCTCTTCCAATGGAGGGACATACAGCAACAACCACTTTCATGTCAGACAAGAAATATTCAAATAAACTATTAAATTCTTATCCTTTCTCTTTTAGTGGCCTTTCTGGGGCATTTGGATACCATTTACTTTCATGTTATTGTAAACAGATAGGCGTACAGATGACGTTGTTGTTGTTGTTAGGTGCCATCAAGTCGGTTCTGACTCCTAGCGGTCCAGTGCCCAGCAGAAGGAAATGCTGCCTGGGTGATTTCGTGTTTCCTTGCCCCCATCACTTGATTGTGCCAGTTTCATTTTCTCATCAGTCTAATACATTTGCTGACAAAAGTGAACAGTAGTTTATCCACCACAGAGTCCTCTTACATCTCATAGTTCAGAGAGCTATGATCTGCTTTATGGCGTCCCTGGTAGTACATATGGTGAAGTGTTTAACTACTAAAAGATTGGTAGTTTAAAACTCACCCAGATGCTGCAGTGAAAGGCCTTGTGGTCAGATTCTGGAGGTCAGAGCCTTTTCATCCCTATGGGGCACAGTTCTACCTCGTACACATGGAGTAGCCATGGATTGGAGTCGGTTTGATGGCCTTTTGATTTTGCTGTTGTTTTAGTGGTTTCTGCTGTGACACCTAATATTTATCACGTACATCTTTTCCTTATATTCTCTTACAGTCCCATCAGTGAAAGCCGAAGAGTACTACAAGAGTCATGTGAGTTTTTCCTGAAGCACAACTCTAAAGTTAAGCACAAAAAGAAGCACTACAAACCGGGTTCGCATAAGCTAAAAGTAATTTCCAAATCCATGGGGACCAGCACAGGAGCCACAGCCAATCACGGCACTTCTGCAGTTGCAATCACCAACCATGATTACTTAGGACAAGAAACTCTCCCTGAAATCCAGACTTCCCCAGAAACATCAGTGAGAGACATGGGAGCAGATGGGGCAAGCACTCCCAGACTGAGGGAGCAGGGCTGTGGGGAGCCTGTGTCCCCAGCAGCATCCAGCACCAGGCTCTCCGAGGAGCAGCTCCAGAGAAAAGGCAGGCCAGCCACTGTGAACGACAGGAGCAGTGTCTCTGAAAGCGTGCAGAGTGAAGGAAGGTAAGAGTTTCTGTGCTTGTCTGAAGCCATCACTGCAGGAATATTACCTTGTGCGTTGCTTATAAAAGCATGACGTGTCTGAAAGCATTTTAACAGCAAAAGATGTAAAGTCTGTATATTAAGTCCAAGTCCCTAGGAAATTTAAGTCCTACCATACTATACTATGTAGTAGCTTAATTCTTAACTTTGAGAAGCTTAATGTATGTTGTTGAAGTCAGCAAGTAATGTTCATTTCCACAGTAATTGTTGAGAGCTGTTTATATATTTAAATACATGCTTTAAGATTCATCTAAAATTCACATCATTCTGTTTCCTTTAGTGGGTTCTGGTGGTCTAGTGGTAAGGAGCTACACTGTCTTCCGAAAGGCACAGAGTTCAGATCCACAAACTGCTATGGGAGAAAAATGAGCAAACTCTTCCTGTGTGATTTACTGACCTTGAAACCCTTTGGAGGGTCAGCTATGAGTCAATTCCAATTCAGCAGTGCATAGCAGTAACAACATTGTTGCAGTGTCAAAAAACGTACAAAGATGCTTAAAATAATTCCATTTTCTAAACTCAAAAAAGTATTGACACTCATTTTAATGCATTTGCCCTGATGGCCATAAAGCTGTTAGAACATGATTGTATTAGATGCTGTCAATTTGGCTCCAGCTCCTAGTGACCCCGTGGGCAGCAGTTCAAACGCTGCCCTGTGCTGTGCCGTCCTGACACTCTCAGCCCATCATTGCAGCCGCTGTGTCCGTCCCTCTCATTGAGGGTCCTCCTCTCCTTCACTGACCTTCTACTTTTACAAATATGATGCCTTTTTCCATGGACAAGGTCCAGCTGATAACATGTCCAAAGGATGTAAGACAGGTTTTACCACCTTTGCTGCCAAAGAACACCATGACTGCACTTCTTAGACAGCTTTATTTATTATGCATACACATGTTCAACACAGGAAATAGATACTTAAACAGAATGCTAACCGAGTTAAGAATTGTCTCATCCCCAAACAAAACACTAGGATAGCAAAGGTTAGTGGGAGGGAGAGAAAGTGGAGTGATAGTAGGCATAGATCAGTGTTGTTGTTACGTGCCCTCGAGTTGCTTGCAATGCATATTGACCCCTCTATACAGTAGCTCCAAGCTCTGCTCTATCTTGCGCCAGTTTCATTGTCTCTGACACACCTACCCCATTACCGCAGTCACTGAGTCAATCCATCTCATCCAGCTTCTTCCTCCCTTGTGCTGTCCCTCCACCCTTCCAAGCATGATGTTCTTCTCTAAGATCTGGTCCCTCCTGGAAACATGCCCACAGTATGTGAGCTAAAGTTTCAAAATCCTTGCCTCCAAAGAGCAGCTTGGTTTTACCTTCTCCAGAACAGGCCTGTTTGTTCTCCTGGTGGTTCACAGTATATTCAGTCCTCTTCTCCAACACCACAACGCAAAGGCATCATGTTCTGTTGTCTTCTAACATCCTTAGTCATTCTCCAGCTCTCTCTGATGGATAGCAAGATCAACAGTCACTAATTTTATAAAATACAGTGTATATGAATATTGTATAAGACAGTGTAACTGAATGAAACAATGTACATGAAAGATTATGTGCAAACCAATTAAAAAATTTAAAGCGCACTGCCATGGAGTCAACTCTGACTGGCACTGATCCTCCTCCATCAGGTCTCCGAGGCCAGAAATCAGAGCAGATTGCCTCATCTTTCTCACGCAGAGCAGCTGGGGAGTTTGAACTACTGACCTTTCATTTGGCAGCCCAGCACCTAAGCTACTATGCAAGCAAGGCTGCCTTAACAAGGCTAAATGCACTGTTTCTATGCCCCCATGATCAGTAAAAGTATCTGCTAGCTTGAGAACAAGAATCCTGTCTTACTAACTGTGTTCCTCATAGGACACCTTGCTCAGCCCACGTGTGGTTAACGTAACTCAGTGCAGCCCTACATAGGCTTCCAAGGCCCTAAGTCACAACAAGAGGAGACTGCCCGGCTTTCTCCCTCGGAGCCCTGGTGGATTTCAGTCACTAAACATGCTCAGCTTTTTGGATCAGCAGGGAAGTTCACTCCAAACTGCATGCTTGCTGCTGTTACAATATGCTGTCAAGTCAGAACCAACTCAGAGCTGCCCCTCCAGCAGATTTTCAGAGGCTGTAATGTGTGAGAGGAGACTGCCCATCTATCCTCCTGGGAGCAGCTGGTAGATTTGAATCACCTCTGTTTGGGTTGGGAGCACAACTCCTTACCACTAGGCCACATGTATGGTTGTGCTCGATGAAGTTTTTGAACTCAACAAAAGTTTATTTTATTTGAATTTTGAAGTTTTTGAGTATACAGTTTTTATTAAGGACCTTTAGATAATGGTGAATTGCAGTTACAAGGACATTTGGCAACATATTTGTGCTTGTCAATATATGCATATATGATACCTGTCTTCCTTTTCTCTAGGGCCAGTCCAAAAAGTGATTTTACTGAAACAATCCCAGTGCAGAGCAACAACTTGCAGATCCCTGGCTCCTCACAACCCAGCAGTCTGAAAGGTTCCACGTCATTGCTTGTTCACTCAGTCTCAGGAATTAGAAAAGGACAGGGTTCCGGAAGTCACTCAGATGCTTGAAACACAGTTTATCTCATCTCCTTGGAAGAGGAGACATGTTACGCCTAAAGTTACACTGGAATCTACCAATGCACTATCTTCTAAGAATCACTGTTACATTGTATCTTAAAGTTACATTCCTGCTGTTACATTAGGGACAATTATTCTATAGATAATTCATTCATTTCACAAAAACATTAAAAACATATACCTGAAAAAACCAGAAACATACGGGTTAAAAATATTTTTTTAAACCATGCATGAGGGGTGAGTTGGAAGGAATCTTTTTTTTTCTACTTATAAATATTCTAGAACTGTCAAAAATATTTTGAGGACCAGACTATTGTATGGGGAGAGATTATGGGAGCCCTGGAAATGACTGCCCTGAGGCAACCTTCTGACTTGAAGTGGAAGATACCCCAGAGGCCACATTCCAGCCAAATTACAGAGGGGACTGTGAAACAACACTGAAAAAGAATGTGCTCCCGAGAATTATGCAGACCAAAGAGGTGGCCTTTGCCTAGAACCAAAGATGAGATGACAGTAGAGACAGGGAAGCTGGAGGAATGGAAACAGGGCACCTAGGGAGGAGAGGGGAAGAATGCTGACGCGCTGTGAAGACGCAGCCATGCCACGGACAGTGTGTATATAAACCATTGATGGGGGAAGCTGCTTTGCTGTGCATACTCCCACTAAAGCACAATGAAATGTTGAAAAAAGTATTTAAAATGTACTTTGAAATCTCACTTTGATAATATGACATCAGTCTTTTTCTTTGCTGACATATTTACAGTTCATTCTTGTATTTTTATGTATTTGAAAATAAGTTTATATGAATTTGAACTTTTTTTTTAGAAATCCTGGAGATATTTTATTACGTTAGCATTCTGATATCTTAGCACTGTTTTGGTAGCATTTACACTGAATTTTTAAGAAAATGGAAAATAATATTTTTAAAAATATTAAAAAATTAGCTGACACACTGAAGATATATAATAAGAATTCAGCTTTTGAAATCCTTTATTCTACTTTGGAATCTTAAATGTGTGAACTTTATAAACTGTTACTGTTTTGGATATCACAAAGATTTTTATGTAACTGAAATAAGGTGCTTACTTCGAGTGTCCAGTATTATGGTTCTCCCTGACTCTTCTGCATTTTAAAAGCATAATGTCAGTAGATGAAATGGTAGTCTTTATAAATTAAACTTAGTGCGACTGACTTTTTTTTTTTAATGGTCATGACCACTTAGGACTGTATTATGGCTACTCACTCTCTGCTTAGATGTTTGTTTTTAACACTAAATATAAGTACTTTGTACTTGGACAATGGTTTCCCCAAATATATACATTTTATTGACCATCTGAAAGTGTAGTAATAGTAACATGCCAATCAAATAGGGCAACAAATGCAGTCCTGATAAAATATATTTTATACAACATAAAATGTTTTAACATTTCATCAGTTGTTTCCCGGTAAATTATTCCTTGGATTTTATTCCTTGAAAGGTATTCTCAGTGCTTTTTATTTTCTGTTTAGCATTCAACAGGAAACTTGATCATGTACTGTATGGAAAATGTTGAACTTTTACACATTTTTAAACAGATGACTCTGTAAACAAAACTTTGTTTTGTGTGACCTTTTCAGTAATAAAATATTCTTTACATAAGAGACTGTATTATTCTATATTTAAGTGTAGTTGTTTCTGACCCAAGTAGTAGTATCATATCTCAAATCAGTAGCTACGTAGCTAAACATCCAGAAGTTTCTTTTGAATGAGAAAGTAATAAATAAGTAATGTTGTTGTTGATTGCCATGAAGTCAAGCATGACTCATAGCAACCCTATGAACCAAAGACCTGAATCAGCCTTTCTATAACTATTGTCATCTCTCAAAGTTCATGGAGTTTCCAAAGGCATATTCTTTAGGAAATGGATGCCACTCCTGCTTCCAAATATGAGTAATACACAAATAAAATTATTCTTTGTCACAGTTTCTTTGCAAGAATATGAATTTAAAAATCATCGCTTTCTTTTAAATTCTATTGTGTTTAAATAGATACAATGAAAATGTTTGCCTTTTAACAATTTTTAAGTGTAGGCTTCAATGTTATTAAATTCTTCCTACCCATAGAGTGTTGCCATCACTATTCTCTGTTTCCAAAAGTTTACATCGCTCCAGAAATTCAGAAATCCAACCCACTCAGCAGTGACTCCTCTTCCTGCAGCCCATGATAACTGGAGAAAACAATGTTGTTGTTCCATTTTGCTTGAATCCATAATTAACACCAATGGTAGCAGCAGTCAAGAAATCAAAAGACATCTTGCATTAGGCAAATCTGCTGTTGAGGGCCTCTGTTGTTGTTGAGTACTATCGAGTCAGAACTGATCCATAGCTGACCCTCCAATGGGTTTTCAGAAGCTGTTAATTGCATGAGAGGAGATTACCCAATCTTCTCCCACAGAGCAGCTGGTGGATTCAAACTTCATGCCTTCGGGTTTGCAGTGCAGTTTCTTACCACTAGGCTATCAGAGCTCCTATCAGGAGCCTCTATAAAATGCTAAAAATTTTAGCCTCTATAAAATGCTAAAAAGCAAATCCACTTCCTAAACGACTTGCCTCTGGAAACTTTTTGAACTTTGATAAATGTCGATAGTTGTAGAGGGGCTGCAGGCCTTTTGTTTATGGGGTCACTATGAGTCGTACATGACTCAAAGGCAACACCAACAACATCAGAATAAAGACTAAGATGTGTTTGATTCAAGCCATGGCATTTTGTTTGCTTCTTAACCATCTGAAAATTGGACAATGAATAAAGAAGACCAAAGAAGGATGATGCTTTTCAGTTGTGTGGGAGAAGAGCATTGTGTATTCCCTGGTTTGCCAAAGGAACAAACAGATCTGCCTTGGAGGAAACACAACAACCCGGGGGCTCCTTAGATGCAAGGGCGATGAGATGATGTCTTCCCCACTTCGGGTACGTTGTCAGAAAGATCCAGTGCTCGGATAAAGATCTCATGCTGCGAAAGGCGGAGAATCGGTGAGAGAGGGAAACCCTCCCCGAGTGGATCCCCCTGGATGGACACTGACTCTAGCAAAGGGCATGGATGAGGCCAAGGTTGTGAAGATGGGGCCGGACAGGGCAAGATTCCCATCTACATGTCCCACGCTCTTCTCGGACACCACAACTCAAAGGCATCAATTCTTCAGCCTTTTTACCCAGTGTCCAAGCTCACTTGCAAATTGAAGTATGAAAGCAATTGAAGATATCATGACTTAGGTGCCCTGTCGTCTTTACATTTGCATCATAGTGCTGTAGCATTTTAAAGAGGTCCTTGACAGCAGATTTGCCCAAGGCAATAGGTGATTACCTACAGAAATGTTTACGTGTGTGTGTGTGTGTGTGTGTGTGTGTGTGTGTGTGTAAGTATATACACAGTATATTTCCTTGCTCTGTCAGCTGAGAGCACCTATAAGCAACATCATCTCAGTAGTAACAAACACACAGAGCATCTGAATCTCAGTTACTGGGGGCATTTTCCAGTAAAGGGAACCAGGAGTCCTTGGATAAATGGCCAAATCTAGGACTAAAAGAGCAAATAGACAAGATGAACCGAGAGTATCTCCTACTGCCAGAAAGTAAGTGCTGAAATAAGCCAACCCTACTTTGATGGAGATGTGGTAAAGGGACACATGTGCCAACTGCAAGAGTTCCCAGTGGTCAAAGCTGGAATAATTTGAGCAACTAAAGTGATAGGAGATGATGGTGTTGTGATGTGTTGTCGAGTCGCCTGTGACTCATAGCGACCCTATGTACAGCAGCACTAAACTCTGCTCTGTCCTATGCCAAACTCACTGTTTCTGACACCACCACCCCCCCATTATCCCAGTCACTGAATCAATCTATCTCTTCAAAGGTTTTCCTCTCCTGTGCTGTCCCTCCCCTCTCTGCCCAGCAAGCATGATGTCCCTCTCCAAGAACTGGTCCCTCCTGCAACATATCCAAAGTATGTCAGATGAAACTTCAGAATTCTTGCCTCCAAGGAGAAGCCTTGTTTCACTCTTTCTATACTTATGTAAATAAGTGATCAAATAAGAGTAAGTGAAGGAGAAAAGACAAATCTCTTGTGCATAATTCAAAATCATTTTTTATAGACACTGCTGTTCTATAAAAAGGTTGAGAATAACTTTCCATTTCTTGAGTGTGGGCTGTGTGTAGTGAATTCCTTCCAGAAAGTACACTGTGGGAGGGAGGGAAAACAACTTTCCTGTGGAAAACATGATATGTTCCATTTGGATTAACTGATAAGGTCAACACCAACAGCTGTCACAAGTCCACAACCTGCTGAAGGGAGACTACAAAATTAAATGTAGGTGTCTGCCTAGGAGGGGGACGAAATAGTGAATTGTCTACCAATGTTTCTATTGACGCATGTGATAGATGAAATAGATTTCCTGATATGGTGTCATCTTTTAATTCTTTTAATAACTCTGTTAATCATGCTCTATCACTTACTATGTTGTTGTTGTTATGTGCCATCAAGTTGCCTGTGACTCATTATGACCCTCTATGTACAGTAGGTCTGAAGCTTCCCCTGTCCTGAGCCAATTTCACTGACTCTGACACACTAACCCCTATTGTTCTTTCTAGTCACTGTATCAGTCTATCTCATTTGGGGTCTCCCTCTCCTGCACTGTCCATCCATCCTTCAGAGCATTATGTCCTTCTTCAAGGATCAGTCCCCACCAGCCACATGCCCAAAGAATCTAAGAAAAAGCTTCAAAAGCCTAGCCTCCAAGGAGAAACTTTGTTTCACTCTCTCCAAGTCAGACCTATCTGTTTTCTTGGCAGTCCATGGTGTGTTCAAGACTCTTCTCCAGCACCACAACTCAGAGACATCGATTCTTCTATCATCCTTGGTCATTATCCAATCTCTGATGCATAGCAAGTAACTATGAAGACCACGGCATGGGTCAGATGTACCTTAGTCTCTAGACTGACATCATTGCTTCTCAGTATT